CCCGAGTCAAAACTAATTTTTGGTGGCCATTTCAGGGTCAGTTTAATTAAGGGTTAAATTTAGGTTTGAACTCGATATTCATTTCAAGCAGAGGAAGCAATTAGACATTTTCGAAACTACGTTAAATATTAGTTCTTTGCCGGGAAATTTGGAATGATCCAAATTAACCAGAAGCAATAACTCTGTGATTTACAATTTGGCTCCGGTGCAGCTGTAATTCAATCAAGTTATTGTGATCGAATAAATAAGCAATAAATCTTGAATGAAAAATTTGAAAACATTAATGTTTGTTAAACATTAGCTGAAAAATTGCGAAAAGCTCCATGCGCAATTTACTAAAGTAAGCGGCATGAAATTTGCGGCCATGAAGAATCAATTAATTTGTTTTCATATAAATGGATTGTTTCCGTTAAAACATAATTAGGCGGCACATTTTCATCAAATCTGTGTATGTAGAATAAATACGCAATGCATTTTTTATTAAAGGTTGGCGTAGGTCATTTATGTATATTAATATGAGAAACTCCAGAATTCGTAAGTAGATGAAACATTCTACTGCCACATCCTGTATATTGATTTGCTGATTAACGTTGCCTGGAATGTTTACCAGTATCCCGAAATGTTTGCCTGACTTTAATATTTGAAACAGGTTTTTCGCTCATAAGTAATTATGTGTGGATTTTATTTTGTTAAACCGGTTTTACGAACGTAAAAACCCAATGGGAAATTTAAATTAAACTGCCCGCCGACGGAATCGCACCCTAAAGCATTCGCTCCCCCCATATTGACTAAAGCCGACATTTCCTTCAACTTTGCACCTGATTTTGAATATTTGTTTAATATCCTTCATTTCGAAACTGGTGAGTTTTTCGGGCTTTTAGGTCGTAGCGGAAAATAATTTCTTCCTAACGTTTCGCAAGCATGAATGGCTTGCATCTTCAGAGGTGGTTTGCTCACTGCTGGTGCTCGCGAAACGTCGGGAAGAAATTCCTTTCCACGGCGACCGAAAAGCTCGAAAATTTCACCAATTTCAAGTAATGGCCGCGAAAGCCTGCTGAAGATGGTCTGAACGGCCTAAAGGCTCTAAAAACTCACCAGTGTCAAGCAATGGCAGGCAGATCCTAATAATACACTTAATATTATCATTTACTGAAATGAGAAATTCATTTCGTTCTTGCCATTTTTCGGTTAAGACAAAAATGAATAATGATTAATTTGAGAGGTTGGGTTGGGATATTAATCCAAGATTAAAATGTAATAAAAATTACATAAAATTATTTATAAACCGTTGAATTCAGGACTGTTTCAAACGTGTGTGTATTTCACGTCATACGTGGGCTGGATGCACAATAAATTTTGATCTTGAGCACCGGTTATACATATAAAACGTTGAGTCGGCAGAACACTAGGTTTTTCAGTAATGCCGTGTCAAAACGTAAATGTGTTTTATATGTTCACAAAATTTGTGCGTATTTGAGGCAAATGAACAGCGTAGACAAGCCCGAGGCAAAAAGCTCAAAGTCAAATTCAAATTGATTCAATCCGGAACATTTTATATTAAAATGAAATGAACATGGTTCTAAATGCGTGCCAGATTTGATCCTGTGCCGTGGCAGCTCTGACCCATTTATTTGTCCCCTAGGGAACGAATCCAAACCGAAGGATATTCCCGAGTTTGTTTATCTTTGTAACACGCTCTCTTTGAAGGGTGGCGTTCAAATTTCATCTGTACCTCTCGAAATTCAAATTAAAAAGGATCAATGCCTGGCATGCTTGAAATACATCCTGGAGCGAAGACTGCTCTTATTAATTTCCCTTTGTCCACAAAATACAACATCACGAATGGCATATTGGACAATGGTCGAGCTTAACTCAAATAATTGTAGGGATTCTCTAATAGTTGCGAATATTCAAAATAGATGTTTCTATTACTTTAAGTGATTTACTATCTAATCGTTTTGTTTTTCCAAACGCTTTTTTGCCAGCACTTCTAAGCCGCGATTCTACGAAAACTAGCATAGTTATGAAATTTGGCGCTAAAATAATACAGTCTTTGTAGTAACATTCACAGGTTATCATTTAAGCGCTGACTTAATTGAGAATTTCGTTTTTGAAATGCTTACTTATTGATTACAGAAGTGTGTCGTAATTATCTTCGAATTAGTATTGTCTAATTATCAACTGCATGCGACATGGTATTCCGATAAGCTACTTTTCTTATTTGCCGATGATAATATCCTCTTTTAACGCGCTCAACCTCATTTGCCAGTTCACATTGCATATTGCTTACCATCAATAGAATTTTTATTTTAGATAATCTGACCGACTGGACATTAACTAAACCTTGACAAGTGCGCTATTTATCATCATCGAACTGATTACGCTGAAAGTTTATATTTGGTGAAAATTAGATGCTGAATTCGTTTTTATTTTATTTTACGTTTATTGCAACCGCAAACCGGCAATGTCGTAAAATTAAATTAATTTTTGTAATGTCATATAATTTAATTTCCTTGACTTTTCCACAACATGTGTCTCATAGAGCGTGTTAGATAACCGAGCTTTCCACTGTTCAACTGGGAAAATATTACGATGCTGGGAAAGCTCGTTTTAATTAAAATGAATTAGCAACCCAAAGTATGTTGTTTTGAACATAGATTGGAAGAGCACTGGAAATTGGCAATTAAGTGATAAGGAAATTTAATACGTATAGAAGGGTTTTTGAAATTAAATTTTAATTTGCTAAGAAATATTCGTCACTGCATGTTTCACCAAATTTCAAGCCTGACAGTAAAACCGGAATTACAACCTTCGAAAAATAGTAAGAGCATACCTGCCTATCTGAACAGTTTCATTTATAATCTTGATTAGAATAATCTTAATTCATTTAAGGTTAATTGATTTATTATACTAACTATTACGAATACTGTAATCACAATGGAAAAATTGTGCCATTTGGCCTGAATACATAAAACGACCCGACAGTTTCACCCTAAGAAACACTGATCCGTTTTTCGGGCTTTTAGACCGTTTAGAAAATAATTTCTTCCCGACGTTTCGCAAGCACGAGTGCACGCAGCTTTTTGTGCACAAGAGAATCAACTCTTTTGTGTCATTCGCTTTGTACATAAAATGTATTTCAGCTTGTCTGTAGCAACAAATTATTTATTTTAAATTTGATTTGAACCACCTCTGAAGATGCAAGAAACGTCCAGAAGATGTTCTTCTCCACGACTACGTAAAAGCTCGCAAATTGCACCAATTGCAAGTAGGTAATAGCCTCAAGGCCAACATTTTTTTAAATTTCAAACTCACCAGTTTTGTTAAATTAAGTGTTTTTCAATTCATAAATTCAATAGCTGAAGAACAAAAAAATACACAAACACGCATAAAATTATGATCCATCTAGAATCTGCTTGATTTAATGCCACAACCATAAAACTAAGGTCTTTAGACATTTGATTGCTAATTTAAAGACTTGATAAATTGAACTTTTATTATTTTATGAACTGATTTAGGAAATCATTTGGGATCAAAATACGATATAAAGATAAAATGTGGCTGATAACTGTCGACATACATATGCGATTTGTTCAACTTTGATTATAACAAAATGAAATCTCAAGTTACTTACTATACGAGTAGATCATGCACGTTTTTCCTTATCAAGAATCGAAATACTTAAATCAAATTCATTGAACGTTTCTAGATACAGTCGTCTAGGTTATTTAAACGGCTCTAATGCTGCAAGTTTTTTGGCATAACTGCACTTAATAAACTGATCTATAATTATAGTAGTGTTCAGTCCAGTGTTGTCCGGTCACCGTGGGGAATCACAACGATTCTAAAATATTTTATTAATTTCACATTAAAAGTCCATTTTTGTGCTTAATCAATATATGGTATTTTCGAAATCACTTTAGATTAGCGGCGCCCATCAAAAGACAGTAATAATAAAAAACTGATTCGGAAAAGTAAAAACACAGTAGGGATTAATTATATAGATAGAGCGTAAAAAAGAGACGTAAAGTGCAAAAGCCGGTATGCAATTCTGGACACGAAAAATCGTTATTAAATCAGCCTTTTCCTTTATTTTTTGACATTAAATAACACTTTCGCCTCCGCAAGATCAAAGGCAAATATCGTTCTTAACACCGTAGTTCCGGTGGCTATGCAAATGGCATTCTTTATTAACAACAATGAAATAAAGCATTGCAAATTTCGTTAAAATGCTGAATTCCCGATTAAATAATTGAATATTGACAATAAAAGTTTTTCCTTTAAATGATACATTTTCTTCAGCAATTGTTGGATTTATGCTTGGAATAGGCGCTAGAAATGATTAAATATTTAAAAGAACTGGTCTGAAGAGTGATGATTAAATTTGAAGGGACGTAGATTATAGTAATTAAAATTTAAACGCGCAAATCGAATTAAAACGCTAATGCTGTTCAGTCTAGCAAATAAACATCAGATTTATATTTTTGTCTTTGATTTAAGTTTGCGAATGAAATTAATTGGTTTATAAAGTTTCCGGTAATGAATAATCTAATTAACGCCTCTTAATTACTTTCCCATTATACTCAGCTCAATGATTTTGATCCAAAAACTTGTATCCACAAGCGATGCCACATTATCGTGTTTTGATTTTTCTATATAGAATTGCTTGGATAAAAGGTTAGAGACTGCTATATCTATTAGCGGCCCAGGCATGGAATGAAGGTTGCTTTTATTTTTCTGATTATTTTCAAAAGTATGAACATGCTGCCATCTACTCGTCAAGTTTAATGTTAAATATCGCAGTGCAGGAATTCTGGTACTGGCAGTACCACTTCAATTTGTACGACAACATTCGGCGAATGCGATTTAGATACTGAACAATTTGGGGGGAAAGTGGTTGTGATGTTTCTGCCAGTTGATCATATTTTCGGCAATATCCTCAAGCCAGTTGAATGCATAAATTAATACATATGTGAAACTTGGTATGGTACGATACTTACCTCAGAAGCACTAGTGGCGCCAGAACTTAAAGCTGGCGATAATGATGGAATATCGTAGTTAGGAGAAACTTGCGATTGGTAGGATTGCGTTTGAGATGAAGCTAAATTCGTGCTCATTGAGTTCTGAAGTGGCATATTCTGAGCCTGCACCCCCGGTGGGGCGCTATTCGTTTGATTCACAGTCATTTTTCTTTGGTAATCCGTGAGGAACGCTGGATGGCACGGACTTTGAAACGATTCGCTCAGGTACTGTTTGACTTGGCTCTTCTGCTTTTGCATCACATGGTACCGGGTGGGATTCTCCAGTTTTGTTTGCACCTCCAAAACTTGAGGTGGCACATCCACCGCTAGCGTATGCAATGGCACCTTTACAGGAGCTGGTGATGGTCTTTGACTTTGCTTCAGTTCTTGTTGTCTTTGCCTTTCAGCGGTTTGTCTTTGTTGCTCTAAAATTGCATGATCTCTCATTAATTGTAGCTTCAATTGGGTTCGTGTCTGCGGCGTCGATGTCTTCAAATTTGGTGTACTGAAATGAACAATATCTCAATTATCATCTTGAATGCCAAAGCGAAGCTGTTCAAACGTGACTCGATTTATTACAAAAATTTACACTAATATCAGTTTTAGATAACTTGGTGATGAGAAATTAGCCAAGATTCAGCTGATTCTCAAGGCATGAAATGCCAAAGTGTAGATTGTTGTAATAAATCGATCCGAACATGTACATGGAATAATTGATCTTAGAAGGCCTGATGAGAAATCCCAAATGCATGGAATCCGCTCAATTTTAGCTAATTTCTGGTCAAGTTTAAATAAAATTATTTATTCCATGTACACATCAGTGCAATTAAAGTGCAGATTTTGGGCAGTTAAATGTACTAATTGGAAAAGTTGATTCCAATACCCAAAGTGCGCATTCAGCTGTGAATTTTATTTATAAAAACTTACTCATCAAAGGTCTTTATTAATTTTCCTCTCAAACATTAACATGATATATGAAATGCGCCTAATTGTTCTGAAATCTTGAGCGAAAATGTGCAATAGTTGTCTATATTTATGTTTTTGCGTGGATTCAAGGCTACGTATGTATATTCAATTTGAAAACGAGTCGAGTTTTTCGGTGGGAGTTTTGTGGTTTTCGAAAATAGATCGATTAGACGGAAAATACCTTGCCTAGATGCAACAATGTTTTAATATTTTACATCTGCCCTGACCCTAAGCGTTGATAAAGGTACAACATTTATTAGTTAGCTTTTGGCAACTAATCAGAGAACTCACTGTTATTTTAGGTGATGCTAATAATAGAATTATTTTTATAAAATTAATGACGTATGTAATAAACATACGTTAAAAGATGTAAAATCTGTAAAATGTATTATAAATTGCTATGAAGGGAGCAATATTAAAGAAATTGAAGACGATGTGATCAGGCTCGAAAGACTGCGTCGTTCATTATTAGACGTTCTAATAGGAAGCGACGGAAATTAATTTGCTTGTTATCTTATTAACTTCGCCTGTTAAAATTGAATTTTCCCCAGGGTGGTGATTTATTTTGTAAACTGATGATTATCATTTTTTGCATGAATTTTGCGATTTTGTTGCTAAACATCCATTTTCATTATGGTGGCGAGGATTCCCGGGTAATTGCCAGTTTTTGAATTCTAGAAAAATTTAAGTAAACTCCATGCTCATTAGCTCGAAACGTCCATGTTTTTGAACATTATTTTTGCAACTGGTAGGTTTTCAGCAGGCTGCTGATTGAGTTCCGGTCCGTAAAACCAATTGCTTCACGTAATTGAAATTCCTCTTAGGTCCAAAGTTGCCAACTTCCTCCCTCATTTTTTTAGTTCAGTGGTTAGTTTGATGACTTTTATTTCGAAATTATATTTCGCCAGCACGATTGCTGTCCCAGCGGAAAGTCAATTTTCATTTGGGAAGTTGCTGGTAACACTTTATGAAAGTACAAAAAATAGGGTCATTTCCATTTCACTTCGTGTTATTTATAAAGTATCGGTAATGACAAGGAAACAATTCCCCAGAGTTTTTGATAAAAATAGCTTTTTTCTCAGGTGGACACTGGTTGTTTTGTCTAAATAAAATTAGAAATAATTTATCTCCAATTATCGTCAATCCAATCAATTTCCGCAATAGTAATGCATAATCAATTCTCAGCACGAATTTGTGTTCTGTATTTATATCCTTTAACACATTGTTTATGCCTCTAAATAATGTGTTGAAACCCAGCTTAATATATTTATTGAATTTCCATGTTTAAGTAAACAGTTTGTTGGGGGTTTAACTATTAGGAATAATTCATTGCGTGCTTTAATCAACCGAAGAGTTATTTAATTGAGTTTTGCAATACTGTTTCTACCCTCGCACGCGTGCCATCACATTTGCGTACATTTAATTAAATGATAGAATTCATTTGGCTCAAACTGCATTCATTTAAATACACACCTCCATAAAATCTCTATTCAAGTTTAGTTCATCTCAAATATACAGTTAATAATGTAAAACTGTTTTTATCATATGACTAAACCGATTGAAATGAGGTTTTGACGATAATATAATGACGAACTATGATTCCCCGAAGTACACCGATTTTTTTATCAGGTTAAACTACATTGTTTTTATAAAACAACTGGTTAATTAATTTTAAATATTATTTTCGCAAATGAGCCAATGTATTAAAGGCTAATGATGTAATTAAATTTGCAATTTAAATGGTCGTTGCGAAAATGTGAAATTTCAATAAACGTCTTCATTTCATGTCGTTTTCTACAACTTGACAGGGCTCTGGCCTTTGGCCATGTGTATAAAACGCTTTCATAAATTTATTGGTTTTACGCTACCAACACTTTCTATTTTCAAAAAGTTTTGACTCAATTTTAAGTCACTTTATTTTGCCAAATTTTACGATCTTTTCCGGCTTGCTCTAATGAATCATAGCCTAATAAGCATTAAAAATGCGATAAGTCAAAGCAGCGTGATCTACTTGAAACTCCAAGTAGTTGGTGTAATTGTAGCATACAAAATGTAATTAATTGAAAAAATAGCTTTATCTACTACAGCCAGTTGAAGAGGTCAACTAAATTGAAATCACATGCTTCGTTCAATGTTTTAGAATATTAATTATTCGTTTTTAGTTTTACTGTTTTATTTATGCGGTCTGTTGTATTCTTTATGGCTTAACTTCGTCATTTTTTGGAATTAAATCCGCCTTTATCACATGTTGTCCCCTTTTAAAAGATGTTTGTGCTTCTACGGACGTTGCGAGAGCATCAGGAATTGATTATTTATTTATTTATTTACCAGAGAAATAGGTCGATACATCAATGTACACTTAAATACAATTGAAGATTTATAAAACCCAGTAAATAATCAAATGTAGAGATAATACGCATCGAACGTTTTAAATATATACAAACAGCTAGAATCGTTAAAAACGGAATTAATAATACCTAGCAACATTTTCAAAGAAATATGAGTCTAAAAATATTATTTATTTCCAGATTGCTTAAGGAAAATATCGGAATATTTTGTTAGGTAGGGATTGTATTAATTTTATTTCACCCACAAAAGGCATACACTGATTATGTGCTTCAATCGATATTAAAACTAGTGTTGAGCGCGTCGCGGAAAAAAGTTTCTTCCAAACGAGTGGCGTGCATCTTCACGAATGCTTCACAAATGCTCGATGTAGCAACCATAAAAACTCGCCAGTTTCATCTTCATTGTGTTTTTCGAGATTTTAGGGCGTAATGGAAAATAAATTCTTCCTGACGTTTAGCGATTAGCGAGCACGAGTGGTTTGAAATTCTGTTCCACACGGCCTTAGAAACTGACGAGGTTTATGGAATGACCGCGAGTCAAATTTTTTTGATTAAAATAAGTATATTTTGGATTTGCGGTATTCTAACAAAAATAATCTGGCTTTATGTGGCTACCTACAGCTAAGTTGTTATATCCATTCCTGTTTGAAATAGTTTCGATCTAGCTGCATATAGTTACAATAACGGGTGAAGTAAATATTTCAGATAAAACTTGATTGTCATGAGTTCAAGTTAGCAATGGCTTGATAAAACAAGTTTCACTAATTCATTGCGGTTGAATCCAGAGAAATCCTTAAGAGCACTCGGTGTAGTTCAATGAGATAAGGAGTTTTAACAAAGGCATAGAGCACTTTGTACCAGTGTTTATGGCTTGAAAAAGTATTGTTGTTTTGGTCGAATAAATGGCAACAGTTAAGTTTTAAATTGTAGTCCGTGTTTTACGATCTAGTTTGTACGTCAGAGTAATGTGCTGTACATACATGGGATGTTATCAATTCGATTTATGGCCAGTTGTTGATTTTTTTAAACTAGTTGCAAAGTGTGAGCATCAGCTGAGAAGAATGTCGACAGTGCTCACCTTTCGGAGACTGGCATAGTTTTTGATGTTAGCTGGTAATATTCCTGATTTTTCGGTGTTCCCAGCAAATCGTCAAAATCGATGGCACTTTCGATATCGAAATCGTCGGTCAAGAGCGCCGACAAGTCGTAATTCAGATCTATTCCAGATTCAGCCATATTTTCTAGATATTTGCATTAATTTAGGCGCACATATTTTCCCAGACTGATACCATAATGTGACTAAAGAATCGCGCGCCGAAAATTCGATAAGTAAGACAAAACCGCGCCGGCTTGCTAAGCCAACTCAACAGCACGAAAGCGACTGATTTTTTTGCCAATAACAATGTCATGGGCAAAGCGGGCTAAGCGAGCGCAACGCTCGAGCTCAGTATCGCAACAAGTAGATTTAGTGGAACATTGCTTTATTTGCTTTCTAGTTCCCAGTTGCCGTATCACAACAAGCATCACACTTATCTGCGTAAGTGTCTCGCTTCTCAATAATGCTCTATGAAAAATCGTCTGCGCTCCGTCTTTACAGCGAATACTGCTAATGATATTCATACACAATGAATCGTTTAAATGCGCATGGCTCCGACCAGCTTTGGCACTTACCCCGCGCCTGGCAAGCAGCGCAGACTAGAATCGGTGAACTCCCGGCCATCAGTGGCAGTTCTTCGATATTTCAATTCCTCACAGAGTTTCCCTTCAAAACTCGATGTTCCAACTGTGTTTTAAGAGCTGATTCGATCTAATCGTCAGTTTATCCCTCTGCTAAATTTGCTCTTCTAATTAATTATTGCCGTATGTCTAGATGGTTTTATTTAAACAGTGATACCGCACAAAACATTTACCTCGGACAAATAATTAACGAGGGATTGTCGAACCGATCGCTAATAATCCATTGACGAGGAGCACGAAATGTTCAATCCCATACATGAATTAATATGCGCTGTTATTCTGCAGGAATTAAACCGAAAAAAAAACCATTTACACATACAAGTTAATTGAAATTATTTGAACGAAAATAACAAATTCAAGCAATTGGACTCTTCAAACTTGGTAAAAACTGTACGCTAAAATTTCCTCATCCCCTCAGCATTTTAACGAAAATGTTGCAGTTGGGGCATTACTATTGCAAAATTGCTGACTAAATCAAGCTCACTTACGAACTGTTTTCCGGACTTGCATCTTCAGTTAATGTTAATTAAATAAGTTAATGTGATTTTTGCTGCTGCGCCAGAGAAATTGCATCAGTTGCAAGTAGGCCTGGGCAACACTGTGTTGCGTTGCGCTATTGAGTTGTTGCCGCTCTCTGAGTTAACGAGTAATAAACTCATCGGTTAATGAGTTATAAGTCACTTATTAAAGCTTTACGAGACCCGAGACTGGAATTTTCACATCTTAAAAAAAAAGGTCATCAACATGTTTTTTGGGTAGATTTTCCCAATAAAAGTCCAAAGGATGTCGACCATTTCTCTTGTAAAATCGGTGCCTTAATTTTTTTTGCATAAAAAATTTAGTTAGCCAGTATTTTACAATAAAACGTTAGGAAAAACGCGGTTTTTCTGTTTAGAGACAGTGTTATTTAGAAATATTGACCTAAAAGTGAAGAAACCCCAGTTTCCAAGAATTTTTCCAAATAAATGATTCTAAACTTTCGCTTTTTGAGTTCGGGAAATATTTATGGAAAAAGATCCAGAAATAATTATTAGTGTTTTGTCCATAATTCGAAGCTGCAAAAAGTTTTCCAAAAATGTCTGCAAAGCAGTTAAGGGGGCGAGTGTTCAAATAAAATTGATCTCATAATTTTTCACTGAAACGATTCAGTATTTTAAGTAAAACTAAAAATAATGCGATTTTTGTGTCGAAAGAATTGCTTAATAGAAAATTTAAAGTAACTTTAAAAATCTTCAGAGCGATGAGGGCGGCGAATTTTCCAAATAATGTTTGTAAACTTTTGCCACAGCTTAATTATCATGATATATATATATGCTGTGCTTTTGCTCTCTGATCGTTTTTTCAAGATAAACCTAATTACTTTCAGTAAAAAACTGAATAAAATGATTTGGTTTTTGTGCCAAATTCGAAGCTGAAATGGGGTTTCTAAAGTTCCCTGCAAACCGATGAATGATGCGAATTTTCTAGCAAAGTTAATTTTGTCATTTTTGGCTGAAAAGACCCGATTATTGTCAGAAAAGAAGAAAATCATCAGAAAATAATGGTTTTTTGCGTTTCTGATTAAAAACTTTTAGTTTTGTGATCGGTTTTGGAGAAAACTTTAATAGTTTTCGGGGAAAAACGGGAGGAATTTATTTTCGTTTTTGTCCCGAATTCGACGCTGAAAAATATTTTGTAAAATGTTTACACAGCTATAAATTTATCTTGTAATTTGTCGCGTAAAAGACCTCCAGATCGTCAGTATTTTTAAGTGAAACTGTACAAAATAGAGCGCTTTTGAGTAGAAAGTAAAGCAAAAAAAATCAGTCAAAACTAAAACCCAGATTTTTTTAACGAACTCGTGCAGTCTTCAGAGGTATTGAGGTCACGAGATTTCCAAATAATCTGCGCTTATTCTGTTGGATTTTTGATTTTTGATCCAAATTCGAAGCTGGATAGGGATTTATAAGCGTTATACGAAGCGACGAAGGATTCAAAATTTATTTCATAATTTTTCGCGGAAAATACCTGAAGGTTTTCAGCATTTTTAAGTAAAACTTTAGAAAATTGAGCTTTTAGAAAAAAGAGTAACTTGGCTACAACTGAAACATTCTGAAATTTTGAAGAAATTTTTAAAATATTATTAATCAATGGCCCTTAAAATAAATCTAAAAACAAGTAAGAAAAGTCATCAACTTTTTCCCAGCAACGGCACTGAGTTGCTGCGCCGGTGCGTTGGATTGGCGCACTGCGCCAACTCCTAAAAATTCACTGAGTTACCCAGGCCTAGTTGCAAGCTTTCGAGCAAAATATCTCTGAAGATGCAAGTCATTCATGCTTGCGAAACGTCAGGATCAAGTTCTATTCCATTGGAATCTTCCATGGAATGTGCTCAAACCATTTACAAATTGGTAACAAGTATGTTAAAAAGTTCTTCAACCTCTCAAGCTTTTGATTAATCTGTTCGAATCTGGCACTTTAGGCAAACAGAACACTTTGCTTTATCCAGTTTATCCAGTTTTATTATTCTTTACATTATTCCTATTTCTTCTTCAGATGTGTTGGCGTGTTTGATTTATTTATTGTGAAGTGTTTTACGGTCCTGTCCATGAACCAAAAACGTTTGTATCATTAACAGGACGGTGCTAATAATCTGGCTTAATTATACGGTAGACAAGTTTGCACCATACCATTTAAAATTATTTTAAACATACAATACCTTACGTAGGTGGATTTAATTTACACTATTTAATGCATTCTACAAATAAAGTACATTGTGTTCTGTATTGGCATATATGCAATAACCAAATTCTTGCGAGTATACGAGTATGCCGAACTCTGGCAATATTCACGCAATTTTAACAAATTAAATCAAATTGTTGATTAAAAAAACGTTTTTCTACATTATTTTGCTATTCTGGAGCTTCGACCTCGCTTAGTTTCCATACATTTTCCTTTTCAATTACACAAGTTAAGGGTATATTGTCGTTAAAAACCTCCTAAAATGTTTAAACTAATTGTATTCGATGCATATACGCAATATGCTTTACTTTCCGCATTTTCCTGCAATGGGCATGTGGCATAGCACAATAGTTCATTAAAATAGCTGACCAAACAAAACGATGGATTGCTGTAGCGTAATAAAAGTATCAGCAGTTAATAGGCGACATTATCATTAATTTATACAATTGGTGTCAAGTGGTTGTAAACCTAAATAATGAATCGTTTCTTATTGGGTGTCTGGATTCTGATTTTAGATAATTGCTCCTGTCAGTTACTTTTTAATCAAAATTCTGGAAATGAAAACATTGATGAGCACTGGGAGGAATTTAAGGTACGCAAATTAGTCTGCAACTGCCGGTATTTATATGTAGATACACTGTCCTAAAGTAAAATGGGAACCAAAACGTTATCTAAAACTTTTATTCAGAAAAGATTCAACAAATCGTACAACGACCACTACGATCCATTTAGGAAAGAAGCATGGTTAGCTAATATTGAAAAAATTAAAAAACACAATGAAGAGGCAGCCAAGGGTATGCATTCTTATTACCTAATGGATAACAACTTAGCTGATTTGGTGAGTAGGTTTATTCTTCGTTTTTTCTTCCCAGTCCAACCAGCCACCAGTATAATTTGTGACGCTGCAAAAAAACATACTTACACGTGTAAAAAATCATCACGATATTTTAAACATCGCAATGAAAAATCCGCAAGCTCAAGAGCCTTTACTTCAATAGGTGAACACCGAATTATCTGAATTTTGTGTTTTATCAAAATCACCATATCAAAAAATTCTAGATTTACTTCTTTCTTTACCAAAAAAAAATCTAGATTCTTTACCAAACCATGTTTTCGTTACGAAGCAACAATATGTTTTTTGAATAATTTATTTAAATGCGCTTTGATAAAAAGTTATTGAAATGAAAAATGTGAAAAGGCAGAATCTCTCTTTTTTCAGAACGCAAATTGAAAATTTCCCGATCTTAGTTTAGCTGCTTTCAGAATAATGCCGAAAAAGTTGTTTTTTCAAATACTCATCTGCAGGCATTGGATTTCCCATTGCTCAATAGGGGTAGAAATTTCAAGTGTGTAGCTTACTTTGAGTAACCCAACTTAATAGCCTCCTGCTGGGCTTTCCTGCTTCTTACGCCCGATCTGCAGGTGAAAATAATCGGGCATTCTTTCTCAGGCTTTGCTGCCGAGTATTGTCGCTTAAAAGTGTCGCTGGATGTTTCAGGGCCCAGAGCCCAGGGCACTGCTCCTACTAATGATAGATAATATTATTCTGAAAACTGAACTATTATCCTTACATGGTATATTGATAGATCCAGCTATCTGGCCATTCCTCAACTCTTCCATTTCCCTCACGTCTATCACCAATTTTGTTGGATCGTTCCGTGCTTTATTAATCTCTGCAAAATCGCATTCCTGCCAATTAACACTAGTCATTCTTGCGGCGCCAGAGGACTGCGAGAAAGAAAAATCGATCCAAACTGTGGAATACGCTCGAGACTAACGCTAAAGACTGTGCTCGAATTAACCCGCACTGTAATCTTGGAGTGAAGTACTTATTGATAGCAAACAGATAAACCCATAAAAACAACGTTTTTGCCGCGGAACGTAAAAACGTGTTTCAGTTGTTTAATGCGAAAAAGTACCATTAAAACTGCTTAGTCAAATGACACGAAGCCACTCGAATGTTATTTGCGGGAAAATCAATTTTTAGACTCACCAAACATACCTACAGAAAATGGTGAAATTGACCCAAAGTAGGCACAGAAAAGTTGATGCTGACGTTGTAGGGGATTTTTACCATCAATTTCACCATATACCCGAAGAAGTCAATTGGATTGACAAGGGTTTTGTAACGCCCACATATAATCAAAAAACTTGCGGATCTTGCTATGCGTTCAGCATAGCTGGGGTGTTGCAAGGGCAGGTTTTCAAGCAAACGAAAAAGTTGGTTCCCTTAAGGTAAGTTAGGGTGTTCTGAAGCACCACTAGCCTCAACTGTTTGAGGGACTTTCAGTTCTCAGCAATTAGTCGACTGCAGTGCGCTGTATGGCAACTTTGGGTGTGCGGGAGGTTCCTTGAGGAACACCTTGCGCTACTTGGAAAAAGCTGGCGGACTTATGGCCTATAGTGACTACCCATATAACGCAGCAGTAAGTATTCGGGTTCCACTCAATCCAGATGGTTTTTCTATTTTGGAGTACCACTCATCGCATTCACCGAGTCAAGAGATACCCTATTGGGTTAATTTTTCCAAATGTGTATTTAAGCCATAGATTTGAAGAACTTTTCACTTACTAGCAAGGAAAATGTCGCTATACCAAAGATATGGCCATCGTTAACGTTACGTCCTGGGCAGTACTGCCAGCACGTGATGAGAGAGCTTTGGAAATCGCTGTAGCTAATGTGGGACCAATCGCAATATCCATCAACGCCGCGCCTCATACTTTTCAGTTTTATCAGTGAGTTTTTTCGCTTACGCACGGCCAGTTTCACTTGGTTCTCATTTCTACTCATACTTATTAGCCTACATAATATTTTTTCAGCAAAGGCATTTTTGACGACCCTGGCTGTACTTCGTTTAGCGTAAATCACGCCATGCTACTTGTGGGATATACAAAGGATGCCTGGATATTAAAAAATTGGTGGGGCAAACATTGGGGAGAGCAGGGTTATATGAGGCTCAGACGAAATAAAAACAGATGTGGAATTGCTAATTACGCTGCGTATGCTTTAGTGTGAAAAAGCTAAATAGAACTATTTTGGGATTTTTGTTTTTTTTAACCATCCAAAAAACAACTAGATATTTTCCAATTTTTATTGGTGAATTCATGTGAAATAAAAACAGTTGAGTTATAATGAACGTGAAAACATTAGAGCCAACATACATCTTAAATTGATACAATAATGGTCTCGCTCTGTAACCGTTTCGCTAAAAGCTGAATATATACCTAATGTGACATTTCTGAGGCTGAACACTCGCCCATCGGAATTTTAAATTATCACAATAAGCTTATATATACAGAAAAGAAGTATTTTGAATGAATTTAAGGTCTCCCATGTAAATTTCGTTTACAAATAATTGTTTAAATCAATACGACTTTACATATACATTTACATTGATTTGAGATCATAGAATCCACTACTATTCTTACTTAGGAGACCCGACATTCGAAATTTTATTTGCGTTAAAATGCAACAATAAAATCCAATTTACGACTATTAGTTTTGCGTTTTGCACAAATGTCACATTTTCAATTTGGGGAGTTAGAAATACGACGAAAATTATTGTTAAATACAGCTAAACACAACAATCTTCGACATATTCCAGTAACAAAATCTAAAGCCAACATGTATGTTCTAGTTCTACATTTTTATTTATTCCATTTTCTGATGGATAACACACAATATTTAAAAGATGATGATTCGTAACAACATTAAAATGAGATAAGCGTTCGTAAAAAGTCCATCGACAATGACATGAAATAGCTATTACATACATAGTATTCAGCTCAAGAAAAAAGAATGCAATAATTGAGGTCAAGCGTTCTATAAGAAGGAATACTTTTGATGATAAAATCAGTGTCAGTAACATCAATATATTTGGAATTTTTTTCTAATTTTTTTTCAACAATAATGAAGGCATCTCCGATAGAACACTCGACTCAAACTATTTAGAATCTAATCAGTTCCTTGAAAACAAAGAAGAGATCTAGGAATTATACAGTTGGGCCAAGTGGTTTATAAGTATTCCTCTTTTCTTATCTTGCTAGTTTTGTTACAATTCTCAATACGCTAGTTGCTCTTGGTACTAGTTTAAAAAATATAAGTCTTGTAAGATTATCTGTATGTTGAGGACTTGGCAAGTAATTTTGCCGAATTTACGTGGTAATATTGTGCGTATTGATGTTAAAATGCATATTGACTAGTTAGAGTAAAACTATTTAGTATCATCTATCATAGATGTGGTCAAGTCTCCCACGAAATGATCACATTTAACGTTACTTTATTTGCTGTTGCTAAACAGCTTAAAACTATGTGAAAATTGGAAAAAAAACGTCAAAACAGGTTTTTCTGGTTAAAATAAAATTAAATATGATCATCTATCATGTATACCAAAATGATACAAGCTGTTAAAAATTTTCGAAAACCTGTTTATTATCTCACAGAAAACGATTAAATTAATAAAAATTTGCAAATTAAAGAAAAAAATACATTCTACATAAACTCTGCATTGCAGAGATATTACAATTCCGTAACAAAAGTATAAAATCATTTTTAAAAAGCCAGAATAACAATTGCTATAAATAGTACAAAAAGTGGTCACAACTAAAATTAAGGAAGCACAGCTATTCTTGTAGTTTCCGTAAAAATTCTCAAGCTGACCTACACAATTTTTGAAGCTGTACAGCCTTTTAATCACTGGGATACTGTAACGACATAAATAAATTGTTATCAGTAATTCCCAAAAAAGTATATTTATCCGTAATACTGGAAAATGTACATATATCTTTCCCTACATTTTTAATAATTGATAAGCATACAATACATTTACAATAAGACAATAAAGTAATGTAACTTCATATGTGAATGTTTTACAAACAAATTGTATCTGAAATTCAATATAAAAATAAAATGGCCACTATATATCATCATATTATACTCCAAATGCATGAAGGTAAAAAGATAAAAATATAAAGGTTGACTATCATTTTGACAAGAAAATTAATCTGTTAATTTCACAATTGAACCATTGCACAAGTATGACAAAAAATACACAGATCACAAATATCTATCTACAATGCTTTCAAGCAATTACATTTTATAGTTAAAAAGTATAAAATACTTTAAACAGATCATTTTGAAAATTGTTCCTGGGAAATGACATGCTGTAAAATGGTCATTTCTTAAATGTGTCTTTCTGCGTTTACTTCTTTCCACTTCACTTGTTTCAGCCATGCCAAGGTTTTAACTTTTCTTTAGTAAACTATCACAGTCAATATAAATCATGGCGATTTAATACGTAATTACTAGTCTTGTATGTAAATATATTTTTAAGACATAGAGTTCTTCATTCATCCATAAGCAACTTAAAATTCCATCACAAGAAAATTGATAGTCACCACAGCGTGTATCACAAAACAACCCAAATCCGTAGGCCTAAGTACCTTCACCACTAGGCGACGCGTTAATGGAACCAACGGGATGTTTCAATACAGTGGTTAGTAGATCGTTGTGAATTTCTAAAGAATTTGTGGCATAATGCAATACCAACTCTAAGAGGGTTGGATATATGTTGTAGGGTTCTGAAAAACCGAACCCTTTTTCCGTTTGGTGTATTATGCAGTGATTAGGGGTTCCATTACAATTAACAACTAATACAAAATTCGGTTTGTTACTGGACTTCCTGATCAGAAATGTCCCATCTGGCTTGCCGCTTAATAAATCCTCAGCCTGTTCTCGGGTCGAATCTGGCATAAACCATGACGCTTGCTCATTATGAGGCATAGAATCCACGTCAGTTTCAACTTCTGCTATCGTATCGTCTTCATTCCAATTGATTAAATTATTGATTTCGGTCTGCTTCACTCCGCGCTGCAAAAGCCATCGAATAAATTGTTCCCTCTCACGACGCAAATTCTGAATTTCGGGTTTGAGGGAATTTAGTTCTCGTTCCAGGCTTCGGTTGTACGCTTGTCTACTTTGCAGATTTTTTTCAAGTTGTTCGCAACTATCAATCATTAAGCCTAATCGCTGTTTTAATAACTTTGCATTAACCTCCAAAGTTTTAATCTCATGTGGTTGGGCTTCGTTCTGAAATTTCTCTTGGATTAAAGTCTGCTTTTCAAACACCCTCACTAATTCGCGAAAAGCGTTGAGGGAAAGACGTCGCGTTTGAACATCTTGACAAGTTTCATTAAAATCTTTAGATACACGTTCGCATTCTTTTTGCTTTTCGACCAAACTTTTATGGATTTGCTCAAGCTTAGTTTTCAGCTTGTCAGTTCGTTCCAATATTGCTTGCTCTTCCTCTTGGTTGTTCCTGTTAACAGGGAATTGAAGTTTGATGTTCAAAGACGTGTTATATTGAGACAACGAAACGTTGCGAAAGTGATTTATGAGGTCGACTACAGAATTGTACTTGTATGGCTCTGTAAACCCATACTTCCCTTTGCTATGGCAAATTTTAATTAGCTTATTAGCACCTCCTTTTCTGAGGGTTAATGTATACTCCCCGCCCTTGCTCGATGCATCGCGCACTAAAAATGTACCATCAACTGTATTGTTTAGCAACTCGTTGACGACTTCTCGCTTAATATCGCCCCAATACCACTCTGCATCTTGCAGTTCCATTTTCTTCTCTTTCTCTGAATGACTAGATGATTCCGACACCCGAATGGGAAGGCTGGTTCCCATGCGACCGGACACCTTTCGGGGCGGTATTGCGGGGGCTGATGCAAATTCTGGAACCACTTCTCCCCAGTCACAGTGCATGAGCAGAATTTCTATTATTCTATTGTGAGCTTGCGTGTTGTACACCACTTGTCTGCAACAAATATTCGCAAATTAGTTTTACTCAATTCAATTAGCCACCACGTGCTTCAGCACCAGTCAGAATTGCCTCCAATCTCACTGCAATTATGTTTAATTAGATTTATATTTAGTTCTGACGAAAATATTTAAAAGATTGGAAATTTACCGAAACGGTTCCTAAAAGATCACCTAATCGCTCTTGACCTGACTTAACCTTTAAACTTTTTCAAGTGAACAAAAAACTCCCCTTTTTCGTGCACGTAGACCAAGAGAAATTGGAAAATGTGAGCAATTTGAGTAGATAATTGGACGCAATGCTGTAATAGCCCAATATATTTTAGAACTAATAATGTACGTGTAAAGTGGCAGGCTGAATGATTTTTTAAACTAATTTTACCGAAATGAAGTTGGATCTTAAATTTTCGAGAAGAGTTTGGTCTCGAGCCAGTTGGCATCGGGTTTAGTATTTTTATTATCAGAATATGTGTGGCCTGTTTCAACAATAATCTGAAAGTTATAAATTCGGTTTTCCTAGCTTTCACAATCATTGAAAGGCGAGCCGATTGTCCTAAATTACCTGTTCAGCGTCTCCAGCAGAAGGGTCAACAATTCTTCATTGCACTCTAGTGGTTTATCATCAGTAATTTCCTGTATATATCCGCATTTGCACGTATTTTTAGCACGAATACACCGCTCATTAGCAATACACATGATAGAATAAAACTTTCCCAAAATATTCAGCGGACCACTATACTCGCATTACTTACCAGTCAGTCTAGCATTAGATACTGTAATTCGTTAGTTAAATTTATATTATCAGTACGGGGTATTATCAAAATGTGCTATCAGATACTTAAATCGTGAAGCGTCCTTGATTCAATGTTAAAATAACGTGCATAGAAACACGTATATCGCCAATCACAAAGCAATATGATCATGAACTGGGGAATAAGTAATTAAGGCAACATCTCATTAAATTTTGAGATAGATATGGAAGTATATTAAAAATGTATGAGCTACAAAAGTTCTGATTAAACATTTTGCATCGGAATATTCAAATTAGCCATGGCTTTCAAGTGGCGCTCATAACAAAATTAAAATGGACTGGTTCACGTAATCGGCTTTGAAAAAATCAGTTAAAATGGCAATTTTTTCGAACTGAATTGAAATGCGAACGTTTTACTCAATATAAAACCATTGAAGAGTGGCAATTGCCCGCCAATCAATAAACCGATTTATGTATTTTCTCAAACAATAATTTTATTATAAAATTTTAGTACTCATTGAAGTTAAAACAATGCGGTCAATTTTACTACTCAAATTATTTATGGTTATTTTTCGAAGTTTGACAATGAAAACAAATCTACGAATCGTTTGATCCGCATCAAAATTTAATAGCTAATAAATCAGAGGTGAAACACCATCGAAGTTTTGTAATTGAAATATGATACTTACATAATTCGATCCCATGGAGGTCTCATGAAAATGTGGCACATAACTTGAGTAAGGACGGCTGGAGGATTCTTGTTCCCTCTAGCGAATTCCATCTGACATATTCGGCATAAATGGGCCATGATAAAGTGTAGGGTTGACATATGGTGTTCGGGCAATTGTTCAAGAAGTTGTTTCAGAACCGAAGTGCATTCTTCATCGCTTTTTCGCTTTTGAGCTTCCAAAAATCGGTCATACCATTGGACCGGAATTAGCGGATCTGGTAGTTCACGCAAATATTTTTTTATTAATCCAGCTATGGTTACTGCACTTGCTGAACTCAAATCCAGGCTGTTTATATCACTGTCGATTATTTTCACCAACTTATTCACCTGATCGGCAGGCGGAGTGGCACTGTAGATATTATACAATTCCAGACTAGTGTTGTCTTTCGCAATGGCTTCTAGTGCTTTAACACACTTCACAAGAAGAAGAGGTGCTGGAGTGGTTGGTGAACATTTAAATTGAACGCAAAGCCCTTGTCCAAAATAAGATCGAAATTGCAAGAACGAGTTCCGTCCTTCATCCAGTGGTTTTCCTGAACAAGATACTAAACCAGTCGCCACACAGGTTCGATGGGCCACCAGTCCGCATGTTGTACATATAAAGCCTTGATGGAACAGCCCTCGCAAATACTTATTACATTTGTCGCATTTTTTCAAGCTACTGAAGCTATGCTGCAATAAGCTATGCGGAAATCCCTGAGCAGGAGCATTGTTGCTTTCAGGTGCTTCGCTCAATTCAGTTTGTCGATCTTCTATCTTGTTGAGAAGCTCAGCGATCGCAGCCAGCATTGCCGCCTGGTGGAATTCGTCTTTTATACCCATTGCCTGCAACAAAAAATATTTTTGTCCACTTTTCTAACAAGCGAAAAACTCAAATGAAATAATCTGCTATTGTTGATTAAACAGTGGACTTACTAGTAGTTTTTCTCGATCCAGATGTGCCAAATCTCCTCCTTTCACGTCTTTGCATTTGAACAGCTCCGTATAAGGATGGAGATTGATGGCAGCCATCCATTCGACAACGTGTGATGAAAGCCATTCGCATATTGGCTGAAACAAAGAAAGAAACATGATTTCCCAAGGAAAATCCACAGTATTTGTCCGGTCAGGAACTTAGTGCTTATTTCCGTTTCAAAATATTAATATCGATTAACAAATAAACACAAGTTGCAGTTGCAATAATGCTTTTTGGCTTAAATCAATATCCTTAATTAAATCCATTGAAATGTTTTTACCACACAAACTCGCATCGCCACAGTTGCATGAAATTAAAACGATTTTTTTGCAATTTTTCATCCTTTGATTCACTGCCTGACTGATTTCGCAAGCAAAAGTTGCAAGGAAAAAAAGAAAAAATTTATTGCACTATTGACTTTATTAGTTTTCAGAAAAAGTTAAACAAACATTTGAGAATTTCCATTAATTAATCGAATTCGCGTTGAAACGTTTTTAATTTTCTGCTGTTTATTGGTCTGGATGGAATGAGGTTGAGTGGTGTTGCACGAAAAATGTCGAGGAAATGAAATTGGCTGGACGATTTCTTTAATGAGTCTCATCAAAAGTCAAACATTGTAGAAAGATTTTACAGCAATTGATCGAAGAAGTAATTCGCGCTTGAAAGTTTTTTAATTCTCTGCGATTAATTGGTGTTGGTGGCATGAGGTTGAGTGATGTTGCAAGACAAATTTCGAGAAAAAACCCCCGGTTGGACTATTTATTTAATGCTTTTCGTGAAAAGTTAAACATTGTAGACAGAATTTGGATTAATTGGGAGAATTTCGATTGAAACTTGAAAGGTGGACTGAATGGAATGAGGCCCACCTTTCAACCCACCCTGTGGTCGTTCTGAAACAAACGCTTTTAGCATCAGTATGATTTAATGGAACTGATGTCCAGGGTGGGTATCCATAATCGGCCATGTTGGATCAGAAAACACCAGGTAGGTCAACGACATACCAAAATGGTTGTTTGCCATTGCGGTTAAATAATTGCAGTGTTGCCCACTACGGCTTGACTGATATTTGACAATATTTTTTTGAGTAAGATCAGGACAATGTTGAGTAAAAACTAATTATAGTTAAGTTTCATAAAAGCCCCATAAAATAGTCCTGGCGCCGCTCCAGTCGAAACTGCATAATAAGGAAGAACAGCATATTTTACAAATTCGTCAGTCCCCAAAAAAAATTAAAAGTAGCTACACGCAAACCCCATAAAACGACAAGAAAAAAGGAAAAGCGAGCTTTTTGAGGCTGCACTTTTAATACCAAGATTATTCACTAATTTTACATGCATGGAATAACAGAGGTCAACACTTGGCAACTGTGTGCGCTCGGTAACCCGCTTTCGCTAGTTTGCCTGCATGTGAATTAAACTAAAGTTGAAGAGAGAAGGAAGATTCGTATAGCCCGCATAGCAACGTGCTCTCAGTGTCACTATTAGTGAGCTAAGCGCCTATCGGAGGCAGGCTGAATAGAATTTGGAGTAACATACACTGTGGCCGAAACATTCGATCTGGGTAACCATAACCATTTTCAACGTAAAAAAGACGATCTTTTTTGCCTTTTGTTCGTTTGCTCAAAGTAATAAATCATAATAAATCGTCATATCTTCTTGCTTTAATGCATTCAAATCAGAGTCAAGTTATAAAAGGCAACACCAACGTTTAAATATTTGTGCTGATGTCATCATTTCATCGCCAAAATGACCCAAAGTAATGGTTTTGTAGAGAGCCAACAGCAAAACTACCGATCCGGCCACGGTGTAATTAAAAAAATCTCCTAAATACCAAATAAGTACTGTCTAATAAAAGACGCTCCTATCAACTTGTAAAACGCTAGTTTGGTGGATAGAAGATTTGAAAATGCGCTTCTATTTTATTTCAAACTGAAGCAAATTAAATTCGGACTTTCTCTACTGCAGGGCTTTGACCGTATTACACTACAGTAATAGTCATGCATTGCTTGAATGTGAACTGACACACAGAAAATATATTATTTAGTAAACTATTCAACTTTACTATTCGGCGAGATATTTATTCAAAAGGCAAACCAGCTCGAATTTAATTCAATATGCCGGTTTATAAAAGAACCAGAAGGACGAGAGTTGCGACCGTTAAAACCAACCAGATACTACGTTTTTTTTAAGAACCGTAATAATGTTAATGTTTTAAGTATTTACGTGCCCTTCAAAAGTTTCAATTCAGAAATCAAGCTGATGTAGAAAATACAATGCTCACATTAACATGTATTAGTTGAACCAAAGTCATTCCTCACTGCTGACTAACAATTTACATATTTTAAATGTAACCAACTACTGTGATGGATACAGTAAAACTTAATTTAATTATACTGGACTAGCAGAGGTCATTCGGAATTAAAATCACTTAGTTTATTTGCTCACAAGTATATATTCTAATTACTCCGTTCAGCTTCATACTGTTGACTGAACGAACTATTTTAGCACTGTTGTGATTGTATAAATTTGAAAACCATATTGGTTTTACAGTGACTGTCAAATATGCATTTCAATCTAAGGAGATTAAAATTTTTTTAACATATCTCAAAAGTTTTACTCGCTAATTCAGTGAGAGTCCTCAGCCTTGACTTTCGCAATAGTTCATACTCGTTTAATGACTTTTATGAAAATGCTTCAATGAAATATTATTAATGCTTGCACCGAATTGTGTATTATTTGGTTGCCAAGAGTAGATATATACTTTCCATTCATTACACTATTTATTCTAGCAAAGTTTTTTCATGTGCCCGTAATCGAAACGAAAAGTCGTCCTTATATTCACAGGCTGCACTAAACTGGGAATTTCCTTTCCTTCCTAGTATGCTTGGTACTTTCTTGGAAATTCAGTCTCTATTAATCGAACCGCTTAACGCATTCACACATAGTTCATAAGAATTTATTACTTTATGGAAACTAATGCGACAAGGGCAAATCCGCTCATATCAAAATGCCAGTTTTACTTAAGATAAGATTTCTATCGGTACATATATGTATGTGTTTCTAGGTATTACGAACAAATATACTATATTTAATTACATTTATAGTGATTGATAATTCAAGCAAAAAAACTGCGATTTTACTCAGAGCAACGTTACATGAAAACTGATGTTAATGAGAGAGCTTTGTGTCCCTACTCATTTATATATGTATTTATAGATTGATAACCGTATTTGATCATGATTTATAATTACTCTGCAATGGAGTCGTTGTGCTAATTAAAAAACGACGAATTTCTCCACAGAAACTGCAAACAAACAAAAAACGCACATACATTTGTAGTATTGGAACAGACCAAAAAATATTATGTGCTGATAAAAAAAATCCTGCTCTGAAAGGTCAGAATAAATATATTTCATATAATAAATATACTAGTGGCCTCTGATACTTCGACAATACATTGATCAATTTTCTCCTTAACGACGATGATAAATTGAGAAAATCACCAAAAAAGCACGAAAAGAAAAACAACCTCTTCGCTTATAGTACGAAGACAAAGGACATTCGAGATGCTCTTAGAAAAGTAGATCCAGATTACTCTTTAACGAAGCGAAATGCCCATTTTCTAGAGTTTGTGTCGAGAGCTGGATTGATCTGTATTAAATACAGTCTAAGCCGGGGCTATAATATAATTATATATCATGTTTACTTGTAACATCGGCCAACGTTTACCTGGTTGGATAAAACAACAAAAAGTTTGAAAAATATCACAACATGTCCATTTTAATAAACGGTACCCAGATAACAATAAAGTCTGTATTATCAAATTACAACTGACTGAAAGTGTTTTGAGACTTTAAGCCGTTATCGAAACGAATTTCTTCCTGAGGTTTTCACCGCTCTACTGAAAATTCTCTAGTTTCAAGCAATGGCCGCAAAACCTGAACTTTTTTTGATTTTATGAAAGGTTGGCCGGTTGCTTGATCCGTATTATATTGCTTTAAATCAATAAGGTGTTTTAACTATTATTAAGTTGATATGACATCTTTTATTTGGCTAGAAGCGTTCATGCTTAATAAACGCTTGCTTTTATTGCGGCAAATAAACCAACCTATAAAGAATCGCGCCCGGGTATGATAATAATGATAATACTAAAGCTAAAAATGTAAATGTACCTGGTATGGCGTCCAATTTATCGCATAAGCTAGTTAGTTTAAAAAAAAGGTCAGGCGTTATTCAACGCTCAAGGCCTCCAAGATTCTTAGGATTTCTCCGAGAATTCTGGGTATTAAAACAGTTTTATTCTTCGGGGACTTTCCCAAATCTTGATGCTTTTACATACATATTGAACGCGAGAAGCGCAACGGATTAATTTTGTTTCACTAATGCAATTGTAAACTCAACATAATTTAAAGTATAAAATCGAAAAGCAGAGTTTTACCCTATTGCCAAATTGGAGAAAGTGATAACGTGGTTAAAAACCAGCACGTGCAGAGCAAAAAGAATGCAAAACTAAAATCGCGTTATAATGCAGGGCGACCTCAGATAATAAGGTTAACGAAGATGATAAATATTACCATATTAATAGTCGTTATCAAAGTTCGCCGTTTCTTTTTCCAATTAACACATCGTGCATAATCATAAAATAAGATTAGTCCTTAAGTAACGATTAACACTAAAATTAACACAGATAACCGAAGAATGATTAGTTGCTCTCTTATCTAAGGACACTTTTACAGTTTGAGGATATAATGACGGAATAATCTAATTAAAAAGTTTATTTAAAGTAAAAAGAGGCTTTATGAAGTTTAAATATCTATCCCTAGAGACACAACTCTATAATGGAAAACTTTTCAAACCCAGCTGGCTTTGAGCAGCGCAAATTTAAGCCGCAGAGTGTTGCCTCGACAGCAAACTTGCATTAAAGTGAACTAATCCCGCAGAAAACAGAAAATCACTGATACCTATTTGCCAAACACAAGTTACTACTGTATGTATAAGTATCGGCTATGTTATAAGTCGCTAAGTTTGTAAATCACGTGTCGAAATTTAGATCTGTCGGTTGCTAGATATAAATTTTTATAGTATTCCCGCACGTA